GCCCCCTCAATGACCCCAGTGTCCCCTCAATGTCCCCTCAATGACTCCAGTTCCACCTCAATGACCCCGGTGCCACCTCAATGACCCCGGTGCCACCTCAATGACCCCGGTGCCACCTCAATGCCCCTGGTGCCACCTCAATGACTCCAGTGTCACCTCAATGACCCCGGTGCCACCTCAATCCCCCCTCAATGACCCCGGTGCCACAATGACCCTGGTGCCACCTCAATGGCCCCAGTGCCACCTCAATGCCCCCTCAATGACCCCGGTGCCACCTCAATGACCCCAGTGCCACCTCAATCCCCCCTCAATGACCCCGGTGCCACCTCAATGACCCCTCAATGCCCCCTCAATGACCCTGGTGCCTCCTCAATGACCCTGGTGTCACCTCAATGCCCCTCAATGACCCCAATGCCCCCTCAATGACCCTGGTGCCTCCTCAATGACCCCAATGCCCCCTCAATGACCCCGGTGTCACCTCAATGCCCCCTCAATGACCCCAGTGCCACCTCAATGACCCCGGTGCCACCTCAGTGACCCTGGTGCCACCTCAATGACCCCGGTGCCACCTCAATCCCCCCTCAATGACCCCGGTGCCACCTCAATGCCCCCTCAATGACCCCAGTGCCACCTCAATGCCCCCTCAATCACCCCAATGTCACCTCAATGACCCCAGTGCCACCTCAATGCCCCCTCAATGACCTCAATGCCCTCTCAATGGCCCCGATGCCCCCTCAATGCCCCCTCAATGCCCCCGGTGCCACCTCAATGCCCCCTCAATGACCCCAGTGTCACCTCAATGACCCCAGTGCCACCCTGCCCCAGTGCCCCCCCATGCTCTCCCTCCACCCCGGTGCCACCCCTGCTGTCCCCTCAGTGCCACCCCCGCTGTCCCCTCAGTGCCACCACTGCTGTCCCCTGAGTGCCACCCCCACGCACCAGGGTGCCCCCGTGCTGTCCCCTGGCTGTCCCCTGGCTGTCCCCTCGGTGCCACCCCCATGCTGTCCCCTGGCTGTCCCCTGGGTGCCACCCCCACACACCAGGGTGCCCCCGTGCTGTCCCCTCAGTGCCACCCCCGTGCTGTCCCCTGGCTGTCCCCTGGGTGCCACCCCCACACACCAGGGTGCCCCCGTGCTGTCCCCTGGGTGCCACCCCCGTGCTGTCCCCTCAGTGCCACCCCCGCTGTCCCCTCAGTGCCACCCCCGTGCTGTCCCCATGCTGTCCCCTGGCTGTCCCCTCAGTGCCACCCCCGCTGTCCCCTCAATGCCACCCCCGTGCTGTCCCCATGCTGTCCCCTGGGTGCCACCCCCACACACCAGGGTGCCCCCGTGCTGTCCCCTGGCTGTCCCCATGCTGTCCCCTGGGTGCCACCCCCACACACCAGGGTGCCCCCGTGCTGTCCCCGGGGCGTGTCCAGCTCCTTTCCCTGCCGCACGAGCTCGTGGATCTCGGCCACCATGGCGCGCTCCGTGGCCGCCCGCGCCTCCTCGATGCGCTCCTGCGTGATCCCTGCCACGGTGACAATGGTGACAACATTGGTGACATTATCGGTGACATCACCGGTGCCAGCCCTCCCCGGGGACGGCGGCGCCGCCCGCGCCCACCCTGCCGCGCCATGGCGCTCTCCAGGCAGTCCAGCGTGGCCTCGTCCTCGCACAGGTCGTAGGGCATGTTCCCGTCGGAGTTCACTGCCAGCAGGTCGGCGCCGCTGAGGGGACAGCGCCGGTGTCACCATGGGGGGGTGTCCCCAAGGGTGTCCCCGAGGGTGTCCCCATTGTCCCCGAGGGTGTCCCCATTGTCCCCGAGGGTGACCCCGAGGGTGTCCCCATTGTCCCCGAGGGTGTCCCGGGGGGGGGGGGGGGGGGGGGGGGGGGGGGGGTGTCCCCGGGGGGTGTCCCCATTGTCCCCAGGGGTGTCCCCAGTGTCCCCGAGGGTGTTCCCGGGGATGCCCCGGGGAGGGGTGTGTGTGTGTGTGTGTGTCCCCAGTGTCCCCGGGGGGTGCCCCCATTGTCCCCGGGGGTGTCCCCAGTGTCCCCGGGGGTGTATCCATTGTCCCCAGGGGGTGTTCCCGAGGGTCTCCCCCATTGTCCTCGAGGGTGTCCCCAGTGTCCCCGAGGGTGTCCCCGAGGGTGTCCCCATTGTCCTCAAGAGTGTCCCCGAGGGTGTCCCCATTGTCCTCGAAGGTGTCCCCAGTGTCCTCGAGGGTGTCCCCAAGGGTGACCCCATTGTCCTCAAGGGTGTCCCCAGTGTCCCCGGGGGTGTCCCCGGGGGGTGTCCCCGGGGGGTCCCCCCCATTGTCCCCGAGGGTGTCCCCATTGTCCCCGAGGATGTCCCCAGCGGTGTCCCCGAGGGTGTCCCCCATTGTCCCCGAGTGTGTCCCCGAGGGTGTCCCCATTGTCCCCGAGGGTGCCCCCGAGGGTGCCCCCGAGGGTGTCCCCATTGTCCTCAAGAGTGTCCCCGAGGGTGTCCCCATTGTCCTCGAAGGTGTCCCCATTGTCCCCGAGGGTGTCCCCGAGGGGTGTCCCCATTGTCCCCGAGGGTGTCCCCATTGTCCCCGGGTGTGTCCCCGGGTGTGTCCCCAGGTACCTGTGGAGCAGCAGCTGCACCAGGCGCAGGTGGCCGCAGGTGGCGGCAGCGTGCAGCGGGGTCCAGAGCTCGGCATCGCGGGCGTTGGCGTCGGCGCCTGAGTCCAGGAGGAGACGGGCCAGGGACAGGGAATCGTCAATGCAGCTCTGGGGATGGGAATGATGGGAATGGTGGGAATGGTGGGAATGATGGGAATGGGAATGGGATTGGGAATGGGATTGGGAATGGTGGGAATGGGAATGGGATTGGGATTGGGAATGGGAATGGTGGGAATGATGGGAATGGGAATGGAATGGGAATGGTGCAGGAGGAGACGGACCAGGGGCAGGGAATCGTCAATGCAGCTCTGGGGATGGGATGGGAATGGGATGGGAATGATGGGAATGGGAATGGGATTGGGAATGGTGGGAATGGGAATGGGAATGGTGGGAATGGGAATGGGATTGGGATTGGGAATGGGAATGGTGGGAATGATGGGAATGGGAATGGAATGGGAATGGTGGGAATGGTGCAGGAGGAGACGGACCAGGGGCAGGGAATCGTCAATGCAGCTCTGGGGATGGAATGGGAATGGGATAATGGGAATGATGGGAATGGTGGGATTGGGAATGGGAATGAGATTGGGAATGGTGGGAATGGAATGGGAATGGTGGGAATGGTGCAGGAGGAGCCGGGCCAGGGGCAGGGAATCATCGATGCAGCTCTGGGGATGGAATGGGAATGGTGGGAATGGGAATGGGGATGGGAATGGGATGGGATTGGGAATGGAACTGGGAATGGTGGGATTGGGAATGGTGGGAATGATGGGATTGGGAATGGTGGGAATGGGATTGGGAATGGTGGGAATTATGGGAATGGGATTGGGAATGGTCCAGGAGGAGCCGGGCCAGGGGCAGGGAATCGTCGATGCAGCTCTGGGAATGGGAATGATGGGAATGGTGGGAATGGGAATGGGATTGGGAATGGGATTGGGAATGGTGGGAAGGGAATGGGAATGGTGGGAATGGTGCAGGAGGAGCCGGGCCAGGGGCAGGGAATCGTCAATGCAGCTCTGGGGATGGGATGGGAATGATGGGAATGGTGGGAATGATGGGATTTGGAATGGTGGGAATGGAATGGGATTTGGAATGGTGGGAATGGGATTGGGAATGGAGGGGATGGGATGGGATGGGAATGGTGGGATGGGAATGATGGGAATGATGGGATTGCGAATGGGATTGGGAATTATAGGAATGATGGGATGGGAATGGAAATGGTGTGAATGGGATTAGTAATTATGGGAATGGAATGGGAATGGGATTGGGAATGGTGGGAATTATGGGATTGGGAATGGTGGGAATGGTGGGAAAGATGGGATTGGGAATGGTGGGAATGGTCCAGGAGCAGCCAGACCAGGGGCAGGGAATCGTCGATGCAGCTCTGGGAATGGAATGGGAATGATGGGAATGGGAATGGGAATGGGGGATTGGGAATGGAATGGGAATGGTGGGAATAGGATTGGGATGGTGGGAATGGGATGGGATGGAATGGGATTGGGAATGGGATTGGGAATGGGAATGGTGGGAATGGTCCAGGAGCAGCTGGACCAAGGGGCAGGGAATCGTGAATGTGGCTCTGGGAATGGAATGGGAATGATGGGAATGGGATGGGAATGGGAATGGTGGGAATGGGAATGGTGGGAATGGTCCAGGAGCAGCTGGACCAGGGGCAGGGAATCATTGATGCAGCTCTGGGAATGGAATGGGAATGATGGGAATGATGGGAATGATGGGATTGGGAATAGGGGGAATGGGATTGGGAATGGTGGGAATGGGAATGGGAATGGGAATGGGATGGGAATGGGATTGGGAATGGGATTGGTAATGGGAATGATGGGATTGGGATTGGGAATGGAAATGGTGGGAATGGGATTGGAAATGATGGGAATGATGGCAATGGGAATGATGGGAATGGGATTGGGAATGGAATGGGAATGATGGGATGGGGAATGATGGGATTGGGATTGGGAATGGTGGGAATGCATGGGGAATGGTGGGAAAGATGGGATTGGGATTGGGAATGGTGGGAATGATGGGATTGGGAACGGGGTGCGAGGTCAATGGGATGGGAAGGATGTGGAAAAGGGGACGCCGGGATTTGGGATCAGCGGGATTTGGGATCAGCGGGATTTGGGACACCGGGATTTGGGATCAGCGGGATTTGGGATCAGTGGGATTTGGGACAGCGGGATTTGGGATCAGCGGGATTTGGGATCAGTGGGATTTGGGATCAGCAGGATTTGGGATCAGCGGGATTTGGGATCAGTGGGATTTGGGACGCCGGGATTTGGGATCAACGGGATTTGGGACACCAGGATTTGGGATCAGCGGGATTTGGGACACCGGGATTTGGGATCAGCAGGGGGAGAGGGGAAGGGAAGGATCTGGAGCGGGAATGGAAAGGATTTGGGGTTCCCGGGATAAGGAAGGATTTGGGATCACCAGAAACGGGGGATGTGTGGGAAAAACAGGGATTTGGGAAATCAGGGATCGGGATCAGCAGTTAACGGGATGGGAATGGCCTGGATTTGGGAATGATTGATGGGATTTGGGATGGGAAGGGCCTGGATTTGGGAATGATGGGGTTTGGGATGGGAAGGGCCTGGATTTGGGATCACCAAGATTTGGGATCACGGGGATTTGGGATGGGATGGGAAGGGCCTGGATTTGGGATCATTGGGATCTGGGATCAATGGATGGAGCGGGGGATGGGAGAGGCCTGGATTTGGGATCACTGGGATTTGGGATGACCAGTTAACAGGATGGGAAAGACTTGGATTTGGGATGGGAAAGGCCTGGATTTGGGATCACTGGGATCTGGAATCAGCAGTTAATGGGATGGGATGGGAATGCCCTGGATTCGGGATCACTGGGATCTGGGATCAATGGATGGAGCTGGGATGGGAAGGGCCTGGATTTGGGATCACCGGGATCACTGGGATTTGGGATCAGCAGGATTTGGGGTCAATGGATCAATGGATGGAGCTGGGATGGGAATGGCCTGGATTTGGGATCAGCGGGATTTGGGATGGGAATGGCCTGGATTTGGGAATGATGGGATTTGGGATGGGAAGGGCCTGGATTTGGGATCACTGGGATTTGGGATCAATGGATAGAACTGGGATGGGAAGGGCCTGGATTTGGGATCATTGGGATTTGGGATGGGAAAGGTCTGGATTTGGGATCAGCGGGATTTGGGATCAATGGATGGAGCTGGGATGGAAAACACCTGGATTTGGGATCAGTGGCATTTGGGATCATCAGGGTCTGGGATCACTGGGATCTGGGATCAATGGATGGAGCTGGGATGGGAATGACCTGGATTTGGGATCACTGGGATCTGGGATTACCGGGATTTGGGATCAATGGATGGATCTGGGATGGGAAGGGCCTGGATTTGGGATCTCTGGAATCTGGGATCAGCAGGATTTGGGGTCAATGGATGGAGCTGGGATGGGAATGATCGGGATCTGGGATCACTGGGATCTGGGATGGGAAGGGCCTGGATTTGGGATCAATGGATGGAACTGGGATGGGAAAGGCCTGGATCTGGGATGACTGGGATCTGGGATTTGGGATCACTGGGATTTGGGATCAATGGATAGAACAGGGATGGGAAGGGCCTGGATTTGGGAATGATGGGATTTGGGATGGGAAGGGCCTGGATTTGGGATCATTGGGATCTGGGATGGGCAGGACTTGGATTTGGGATCACCAGGATTTGGGATCAATGGATAGAACTGGGATGGGAAACACCTGGATTTGGGATCACTGGATGGAGCTGGGATGGGAATGGCCTGGATTTGGGAATGATGGGATTTGGGATTTGGGATCAGCAGGATTTGGGATCAATGGATGGAGCTGGGATGGGAAGGGCCTGGATTTGGGATCACTGGGACCTGGGATCACCAGGATTTGGGATGGGATGGGAAGGGCCTGGATTTGGGAATGATGGGATTTGGGATGGCAAAGGCCTGGATTTGGGATCAGTGGGATGTGGGATCAATGGATGGATCTGGGATGGGAGACACCTGGATTTGGGATCACTGGGATTTGGGATTTGGGATCACTGGGATTTGGGATCAATGGATGGATCTGGGATGGGAAGGGCCTGGATTTGGGATCACCGGGATCATTGGGATTTGGGATCAGCAGGATTTGGGGTCAATGGATCAATGGATGGAGCTGGGATGGGAATGACCTGGATTTGGGATCAGTAGGATTTGGGATGGGAAGGGCCTGGATTTGGGATCACTGGGATTTGGGATCACCGGGATTTGGGATGGGATGGGAAGGGCCTGGATTTGGGATCATTGGGATCTGGGATCAATGGATGGAGCTGGGATGGGAGAGGCCTGGATTTGGGATCACTGGGATTTGGGATGGGAATGACCTGGATTTGGGATCACTGGGATCTGGGATCAGCAGTTAATGGGATGGGATGGGAATGCCCTGGATTCGGGATCACTGGGATCTGGGATTTGGGATCAGCAGGATTTGGGATCAATGGATGGATCTGGGATGGGAAGGGCCTGGATTTGGGATGACCGGGATCTGGGATTTGGGATCAGCAGGATTTGGGGTCAATGGATCAATGGATGGAGCTGGGATGGGAATGGCCTGGATTTGGGATCAGCAGGATCTGGGATGGGAAGGGCCTGGATTTGGGATCACTGGGATCTGGGATTTGGGATCACCGGGATTTGGGATCAATGGATAGAACTGGGATGGAAAACACCTGGATTTGGGATCACCGGGATCATTGGGATTTGGGATCAGCAGGATTTGGGATGGGATGGGAAGGACCTGGATTTGGGATAGGAAAGGCCTGGATTTGGGATCACCGGGATTTGGGATCAATGGATGGATCTGGGATGGGAAGGGCCTGGATCTGGGATCACTGGGATCTGGGATTTGGGATCACTGGGATTTGGGGTCAATGGAAGGATGTGGGATGGGAATGACCTGGATTTGGGATGACTGGGATCATTGGGATTTGGGATGACTGGGATCTGGGATTTGGGATCAGCAGGATTTGGGGTCAATGGATGGATCTGGGATGGGAGAGGCCTGGATTTGGGATCAGTGGGATCTGGGATCAATGGATGGATCTGGGATGGAAAAGCCCCAATCCGGGATATCAGGATCAGCTCAGGGAACGGGAAGGACCCGGATCCTCCCGTGGGATCCCGGGAAGGACCCGGCCCCGGAGCTCCGGGAATCCCGGGAATGTTTCCGGGAAGTTTCCGGGATGTTTCCGGGATGTTTCCGGGATGTTTCCGGGAATCCCGGGAATATTTCCGGGAATGTTTCCGGGATGTACCTGGTGCAGCGCCGTCAGCCCGTCCTCGTTGCACAGGTCGGGGCTGATCCCGCTCTCCAGGAACTGCTGGACTGCGGGGGAACGGAATGCCGGGAATGCCGGGAATGCCGGGAACGCCGGGAACGCCGGCGCCACCGGGAACCCCGACGGAAGCACGGAGGAGGATCCCAAGGGCGATTCCGAGGAATCCAACGGAACTGCCAAGGATCCCAAGGGAGATTCCAAGGATCCCAGTGGCAATTCCAAGGAATCCAACGGCGATTCCAAGGATTCCAAAGGCAATTCCAAGGATCCCGATGGCAAATTCCAAGGAATCCGATGGAACAACCAAGGATCCCAATGGAACCGTGACCATCCCAATGGCTTTTCCATTGATTCCAATGGCGATTCCAAGGAATCCAACGTCAATTCCAAGGAATCCAATGGAACCACCAAGGATTCCAATGGATCTGCTGAGTATCCCAAAGACATTCCCAAGGATCCCAATGGAACCGTGAGCATCCCAACGTCAATTCCAAGGATTGCAATGGTAAATTCCAAGGAATCCAATGGCAAATTCCAAGGAATCCGATGGCACAACGAAGGATCCCAATGGGACCATGACCGTGCACACGGAAACCAAGGATTCCGATGGCGATTCCAAGGATCCTCAACGCTAACTCCAAGCATTCCAAAGGCGATTCCAAGGGTTCCATTGGAACCACCAAAGATCCCAAGGACATTCCCGACGATCCCAATGGAACCATGAGCATCCCAATGGCTTTTCCAAGGATTCCAACGGCAAATTCCAAGGAATCCAACGGAACCACCAAGGATTCCAGTGGGACCTTGGAGCATCCCAGCGGCGATTCCAAGGATCCCAAGGGCGATTCCAAGGAATCCATTGGAACCATCAACTATCCCAAAGACATTCCCAAGGATCCCAATGGAGCCATGACCATCCCAATGGCTTTTCCATTGATTCCAATGGCAATTCCAAGGAATCCAATGGCGATTCCAAGGAATCCAATGGAACCACCAAGGATCCCAATGGATCTGTTGAGTATCCCAAAGACATTCCTAAGGATGCCAATGGAACCATGAGCATCCCAATGGCAAATTCCAAGGAATCCAACGGCAAATTCCAAGGAATCCGACGGCAAATTCCAAGGAATCCAACGGCAAATTCCAAGGAATCCAACGGCAAATTCCAAGGAATCCGACGGCAATTCCAAGGATTCCGATGGTAAATTCCAAAGAATCCGATGGCAAATTCCAAGGAATCCAATGGAACCACCAAGGATCCCAATGGAGCCATGACCGTGCACACGGAATCCAAGGATTCCGATGGCAATTCCAAGGATTCCGACGGCGATTCCAAGGATCCTCAACGCGAACTCCAAGCATTCCAAAGGCGATTCCAAGGGTTCCATTGGAACCACCAAATATCCCAAGGACATTCCCAAGGATCCCAATGGAACCATGACCATCCCAATGGCTTTTCCAAGGATTCCGACGTCAATTCCAAGGATTCCAATGGTAAATTCCAAGGAATCCGATGGCAAATTCCAAGGAATCCAATGGAACCACCAAGGATCCCAATGGATCTGCTGAGTATCCCAAAGACATTCCCAAGGATCCCACTGGAACCGTGACAATCCCAATGGCTTTTCCAAGGAATCCAATGGCAAATTCCAAGGAATCCGATGGCAATTCCAAGGATTCCAGTGGGACCTTGGAGCATCCCAGCAGTGATTCCAAGGATCCCAAGGGCGATTCCAAGGAATCCAATGGAACCATCAACTATCCCAAAGACATTCCCGAGGATCCCAATGGAACCACGACCATCCCAATGGCAAATTCCAAGGAATCCAATGGAACCACCAAGGATCCCAATGGAACCGTGACCATCCCAATGGCTTTTCCATTGATTCCAATGGTAATTCCAGGGAATCCAATGGAACCACCAAGGAATCCAATGGAACCACCAGGGATCCCAATGGATCTGCTGAGTATCCCAAGGACATTCCCAAGGATCCCAATAGAACCATGAGCATCCCAACGGCAATTCCAAGGAATCCCAATGGTGATTCCAAGGAATCCGATGGTAAATTCCAAGGAATCTGATGGTGATTCCAAGGAATCCGATGGTGATTCCAAGGAATCCAATGGCAAATTCCAAGGAATCCGATGGCACAACCAAGGATCCCAATGGAGCCGTGACCGTGCACATGGAATCCAAGGATTCCGACGGCGATTCCAAGGATCCTCAATGCTAACTCCAAGCATTCCAAAGGCAATTCCAAGGGTTCCATTGGAACCACCAAAGATCCCAAGGACATTCCCAAGGATCCCAATGGAACCATGACCATCCCAACGTCAATTTCCAAGGATTCCAATGGATCTGCTGAGTATCCCAAGGACATTCCCAAGGATCCCAGTGGAATCGTGACCATCCCAACGGCAATTCCAAGGATCCCAAGGGTGATTCCAAGGAATCCAATGGAATCACCAAGGAATCCAATGGATCTGCTGAGTATCCCAAGGACATTCCCAAGGATCCCAATGGAACCGTGAGCATCCCAACAGCAATTCCAAGGAATCCAAAGGCAATTCCAAGGAATCCAATGGAACAACCAAGGAATCCAATGGAACAACCAAGGATCCCAATGGAACCGTGACCATGCACACAGAATCCAAGGAATCCGATGGCAAATTCCAAAGAATCCGATGGCGATTCCAAGGAATCCAATGGAACCACCAAGGATTCCAATGGATCTGCTGAGTATCCCAAAGACATTCCCAAGGATCCCAATAGAACCATGAGCATCCCAATGGCTTTTCCAAGGATTCCGACGTCAATTCCAAGGAATCCGATGGCAAATTCCAAGGAATCCGATGGAACAACCAAGGATCCCAATGGAACCGTGACCGTGCACACGGAATCCAAGGATTCCGATGGCGATTCCAAGGATCCTCAATGCTGACTCCAAGCATTCCAAAGGCGATTCCAAGGGTTCCATTGGAACCACCAAAGATCCCAAGGACATTCCCGAGGATCCCAATGGAACCATGAGCATCCCAACGGCAATTCCAAGGAATCCAATGGCAAATTCCAAGGAATCCAATGGAACAACCAAGGATTCCAATGGATCTGCTGGGTATCCCAAAGACATTCCCAAGGATCCCAGTGGAATCGTGACCATCCCAAGGGTGATTCCAAGGAATCCAATGGCAAATTCCAAGGAATCCAATGGCAAATTCCAAGGAATCCAATGGAACAACCAAGGATCCCAAAGGAACCCTGACCAATCCCAGCAACCCCTCCAAGGATTCCAATGGCAATCCTAAATATTCCAATGGCAATTCCAAGGATCCCAAAGGAACCACGCCAATCCCAACAACCCCTCCAAGGATCCCAGTGCCAATTCCAAGGATCCCGGTGCCAATTCCAAGGATCCCAAAGGAACCGTGACCATCCCAACAACCCCTCCAAGGATCCTGATGGAAATTCCAAAGATTCCGAGGGTGCTTCCAAGGATCCCAGTGGCAATTCCAAGGATTCCAAACCACCCCAACAACCCCTCCAAGGATTCCAGTGGCAATTCCAGGGATCCCAGTGGCAATTCCAAGGATTCCGATGGCAATTCCAAGCATCCCAAAGGAACCGTGATCGATCCCAACAACCCCTCCAAGGATCCCGATGGCAATTCCAAATATTCCAATGGCAATTCCAAGGATCCCAGTGCCAATTCCAAGGATCCCGGTGCCAATTCCAAGCATCCCAAAGGAACCGTGACCATCCCAACAACCCCTCCAAGGATCCCGGTGGCAATTCCAAGGATCCCAATGGCAATTCCCAACATCCCAGTGCCAATTCCAAGGATCCAGAAGGAACTGTGACAATCCCAACAACCCCTCCAAGGATCCCAACAGGAATTCCAGATATTCCAAAGCCAATTCCAAGGATCCTAAAGGAACCACGACCATCCCAAAAACCCCTCCAAGGATTCCAATGGCAATTCCAAGGATCCCAATGGAACCCCAACCACCCCAACAATGCCTCCATGGATCCCAATGGCAATCCCAAATATTCCAATGGCAATTCCAAGGATCCCAAAGCAACCACGCCAATCCCAACAACTCCTCCAAGGATCCCGGTGCCAATTCCAAATATTCCAAAGGCAATTCTAAGGATCCCGGTGCCAATTCCAAGCATCCCAAAGGAACCACGCCCACCCCAACAACCCCTCCAAGGATCCCAACAGCAATTCCAGATATTCCAAAGGCAATTCCCAGCATCCCAGTGCCAATTCCAATGATCCCAATGGCGATTCCAAGCATTCCAGTGCCAATTCCAATGATCCCGGTGCCAATTCCAAGCATTCCAGTGCAAATTCCAATGATCCCAATGGCGATTCCAAGGATCCCAATGGAATCACAACCACCCCAACAACCCCTCCAATGATCCCGATGGCAATTCCAAGCATCCCGGTGCCAATTCCAAGGATCCCAAAGGAACCGTGATTGATCCCAACAACCCCTCCAAGGATTCCAATGGGAATTCCAAGCATCCTGATGGCGCTTCCAAGGATCCCAATGGAACCATGACCAATCCCAACAAGTCTTCCAAGGATCCCAGTGCCAATTCCAAGCATCTCAATGGCAATTCCAATGATTCCAACAACTCTTCCAAGGATCCTGATGGCAATTCCAGGGATCCCAAAGGAACCACACCAACCCCAACAACCCCTCCAAGGATCCCGGTGGCAATTCCAAGGATCCCAATGGCAATTCCCAACATCCCAGTGGCAATTCCAAGGATCCCAAAGGAACCACAACCACCCCAAGAACCCCTCCAAGGATCCCAGTGCCAATTCCGAGCATCCCAGTGCCAATTCCAGATATTCCAATGCCAATTCCAAAGATCCCAGTGCCAATTCCAAGGATCCCAAAGGAACCACGCCAATCCCAACAACCCTTCCAAGGATCCCGATGGAAATTCCAAATATTCCAAATGCAATTCCAAGGATCCCAAAGGAACCACACCAAACCCCACAACCCCTCCAGGGATCCCGGTGTCAATTCCAAGGATCTCAATGGCAATTCCAAGGATTCTGAGGGCGCTTCCAAGGATCCCAAAGGAACCACACCAATCCCAGCAACCCTCCCAAGCATTCCAGTGGCAATTCCAACGATCCCAGTGCCAATTCCAAGGATCCCCGTGCCAATTCCAAATATTCCAGTGGAAATTCCAAGGATCCCAATGGCAAATCCAATGATCCCAAAGGAACCACGCCCACCCCAACAACCCCTCCAAGGATCCCAGTGCCAATTCCAAGGATTCGGATGACAATTCGAAGCATTCCAATGGCAATTCCAAGCATCCCGGTGCCAATTCCAAGGATCCCAAAGGAACTGTGGCCAATCCCAAAAACCCCTCCAAGGATCCCAATGCCAATTCCAATGATCCCGGTGCCAATTCCAAGCATCCCAAAGGAACCGTGACCATCCCAACAACCCCTCCAAGGATCCCAATGGCAAATTCCAAGCATCCCAAAGAAACCACAACCACCCCAACAACCCCTCCAAGGATTCCAAAGCCAATTCCAGATATTCCAATGGCAATTCCAAGCATCCCAGTGCCAATTCCAAGGATCCCGGTGCCAATTCCAAGGATCCCAAAGGAACCGTGATCGATCCCAACAACCCCTCCAAGGATCCCAATGGCAATTCCAAATATTCCAAAGGCAATTCCAAGGATCCCAAAGGAACCACGACCATCCCAAAAAGCCCTCCAAGGATCCCAATGGCAATTCCAATGATCCCAGTGCCAATTCCAAGCATCCCAATGCCAATTCCAAGGATCCCAATGGAATCACACCCACCCCAACAACCCCTACAAGGATTCCAAAGCCAATTCCAGATATTCCAATGCCAATTCCAAGGATCCCGATGGCAATTCCAAGGATCCCGATGACAATTCCAAGGATCCCAAAGGAACCACAACCACCCCAACAACCCTTCCAATGTTCCCGGTGGCAATTCCAAGGATCCCAGTGGCAATTCCAAGGAATTCCAAGGATCCCAATGGAACCCCAACCACCCCAACAACCCCTCCAAGGATCCCAATGGCAATTCCAAATATTCCAAAGCCAATTCCAAGGATCCCAATGGAACCGTGACCATCCCAACAACCCCTCCAATGATCCCGATGGCAATTCCACAGATCCCAATGGCAATTCCAAGGATCCCAGCGCCAATTCCAAAGATCCCGATGACAATTCCAAGCATTCCAATGGCAATTCCAAGGATCCCAATGGCAATTCCAAGCATCCCGGTGCCAATTCCAAGCATCCCAAAGGAACCGTGACCATCCCAACAACCCCTCCAAGGATCCCAATGGCAATTCCAAGGATCCCGGTGCCAATTCCAAGGAATCCAAAGGAACCATGCCAATCCCAGCAACCCCTCCAAGGATCCCAGTGGCAATTCCAATGATCCCAATGGAAATTCCAAGCATTCCAAAGCCAATTCCAAGGATCCCAAAGGAACCATGACCAATCCCAACAACCCCTCCAAGCATCCCAGTGCCAATTCCAATGATCCCGGTGCCAATCCCAAGGATCCCAAAGGAACCACGCCCACCCCAACAACCCCTCCAGTGATCCCAGTGCCAATTCCAATGATCCCAATGGAAATTCCAAGCATTCCAAAGCCAATTCCAAGGATCCCAAAGGAACCACAACCACCCCAACAACCCCTCCAAATATTCCAAAGGCAATTCCAAGGATCCCAAAGGAACCACACCAATCCCAAAAACCCCTCCAAGCATCCCAGTGCCAATTCCAACGATCCCAGTGCCAATTCCAAGGATCCCAGTGCCAATTCCAAGCATCCCGGTGCCAATTCCAAGGATCCCGGTGCCAATTCCAAGGATCCCAATGGAACCGTGATCGATCCCAACAACCCCTCCAAGGATCCCAATGGCAATTCCAAGGATCCCAATGCCAATTCCAAGGAATCCAAAGGAACCACGCCAATCCCAGCAACCCCTCCAAGGATCCCAGTGGCAATTCCAATGATCCCAATGGCAATTCCAAGGATCCCGGTGCCAATTCCAAGGAATCCAAAGGAACCACACCAATCCCAACAACCCCTCCAAGGATCCCAGTGCCAATTCCAATGATCCCAATGGAAATTCCAAGCATTCCAAAGCCAATTCCAAGGATCCCAAAGGAACCACAACCACCCCAACAACCCCTCCAAATATTCCAAAGGCAATTCCAAGGATCCCAAAGGAACCACACCAATCCCAAAAACCCCTCCAAGCATCCCAGTGCCAATTCCAACGATCCCAGTGCCAATTCCAATGATCCCAGTGCCAATTCCAAGAATCCTGGTGCCAATTCCAAGCATCCCAAAGGAACCACAGCCACCCCAACAACCCCTCCAAGGATCCCAGTGCCAATTCCAGATATTCCAATGGCAATTCCAAGCATCCCAGTGCCAATTCCAAGGATCCCAAAGGAACCACAACCACCCCAACAACCCTTCCAATGTTCCCGGTGCCAATTCCAAGGATCCCAGTGGCAATTCCAAGGAATTCCAAGGATCCCAATGGAACCCCAACCACCCCAACAATGCCTCCAAGGATCCCAATGGCAATCCCAAATATTCCAAAGCCAATTCCAAGGATCCCAATGGAACCGTGACCATCCCAACAACCCCTCCAAGGATCCCAGTGCCAATTCCAAGGATCCCGAGGGCGCTTCCAAGGATCCCAAAGCAACCACACCAATCCCAACAACCCCTCCAAGGATCCCAATGGAAATTCCAAATATTCCAATGGCAATTCCAAGGATCCCAGTGCCAATTCCAATGATCCCGGTGCCAATTCCAACGATCCCAGTGCCAATTCCAATGATCCCGGTGCCAATTCCAAGGATCCCAACGGAACTGTGACCATCCCAAAAACCCCTCCAAGGATTCCAATGGCAATTCCAAGGATCCCAGTGGCAATTCCCAATATTTCAAAGGCAATTCCAAGGATTCCGCTGGCAATTCCAAGGATCCCAAAGCAACCACACCAATCCCAACAACCCCTCCAAGGATCCTGATGGAAATCCCAAATATTCCAATGGCAATTCCAAGCATCCCAATGGCAATTCCAAGGATCCCGATGGCGCTTCCAAGGATCCCAAAGGAACCGTGATCCCAACAACCCCTCCAAGGATCCCGGTGCCAATTCCAACTATTCCAAAACCAATTCCAAGGATCCCAATGGAACCATGACTATCCCAAAAACCCCTCCAAGGATCCCAATGGCAATTCCAAGCATCCCGATGGCAATTCCAACGATCCCGGTGCCAATTCCAATGATCCCGGTGCCAATTCCAAGCATCCCAGTGCCAATTCCAATGATCCCAGTGCCAATTCCAACGATCCCAGTGCCAATTCCAATGATCCCAGTGCCAATTCCAACGATCCCAGTGCCAATCCCAAGGATCCCAGTGCCAATTCCAAGCATCCCAGTGCCAATTCCAATGATCCCGGTGCCAATTCCAACGATCCCGGTGCCAATTCCAAGCATCCCAAAGGAACCACGCCCACCCCACCAACCCCCCCAATGACCCCACCAGATCCCCCCCCCCCATCCCCTCCCATCCCAATCCCACCAATCCCACCCACCCCCCATGGAATTCCCGCCTTTCCCCACCTTCCTCGGCGTCGTGCCGCGCCGCCGCCTCCAGCAGCCGCACGCTGGCCGGGAACGTCACCCTCTTCTTCCTCCTCCTCCTCCTCCTCTTCCTCTCCCCTCCTTTTCCATCATCATCATCATCATCATCATCATCATCATGGCCGGGCAGGGCCGGGCCGTCCCTCTGGGCCTGCGCCCACCGTTTGAGCTGCTGGGCCCGGCGCCTCCGGGCGTGCCGCAGCCTCTCGGGGGTGCCGAGCCGCGCCACCGCCGCCATCTCGGCCAGCAGCTCCCGGTGCTCCGCCATGGCCGCCCCGGATTCTCCGGGAAAAACTCGGGAATGAGGCCCGGAAGAGGCAGCATGGGCGTCGGGTTTATCCCGGCGAGCGGCAAAGATTGGGAAGCATCTCCAAAATTTCCAAAATTTCCCAAATTTCCCGAAGTTTTTGGGGTTTGATGGCGAATGATCCCGGTTTTCCGGCGTTCCGCGGCGGCCGGAGGATCCGAGAGGTCCGGGGAGATTCCGTGGGGTGAATCCTAAGGAGAGGGAAAAGCAAAAGAGGGAGAGGGAAAAATCCCAAGCCACGGAAACAAATCCTGGCACGGAGCCGGCGCTGCCGGTTGGGCCGGTTCGCCTAAGGCGGGGTTGGCCTGGAATCCAAATGGAATTCCTAAAAAAAACCTGGAATTTTTTGGTTTGGTTTGCCTAAGGCGGGGTTGGCCTGGAATCCAAATGGAATTCCTAAAAAAAACCTGGAATTTTTTGGGTTTGGTTCGCCTAAGGCGGGGTTGGCCTGGAATCCAAATGGAATTCCTAAAAAAAAACTGGAATTTTTTGGTTTTCCTAGGATGGGATTGGCCTCGAAACCAAACAGAATTCCTAAAAAAAATATGGAATTTTTTAAAGCCAGAATTGACCTTGGATCCGATCAGAATTCCTAAAAAAATTTGGAATTTTTGAATTTTTTGGTTTTGGTTTTCCTAAGCTGGGATTGGCCTCGAATCCACCCAAAATTCCTAAAAAAAATTGGAATTTTAAATTGTTTTTTGGCCGGTTTGCCTAAGCTGGGATTGACCTCGAATCTAAACAGAATTCCAAATAAAAATTGGAATTTTTTGGTTTGGTTTGCCTAAGTTGGGATTGACCTCGAATCCACCCAGAATTCCCAAAAAAATTTGGAATTTTGGAAATTTTTGGATTTGGTTTTCCTAAGTTGGGATTGAACTCAAATCCACCCAGAATTCCTAAAAAAAATTGGAATTTTTGAACTTTTTGGTTTTCCTAAATTGGGATTGGCCTCCAATCCACCCAGAATTCCTAAAAAAATTTGGAATTTTGGAATTTTTTTGATTTTGGTTTTCCTAAGTTGGGATTGGCCTCAAATCCAACCAGAATTCCCAAAAAAATTTGGAATTTTTGACTTTTTTTGGTTTTGGTTTTCCTAAGTTGGGATTGGCGTCAAATCCACCCAGAATTCCTAAAAAAAATTGGAATTTTTTGGTTTGGTTTTGGTTCGCCTAAGGCGGGGTTGGCCTGGAATCCAAATGGAATTCCTAAAAAAAATTGGAATTGTTTGGGTTTGGTTTGCCTAGGCTGGGATTGGCCTGGAATCCAAATGGAATTCCTAAAAAAAACCTGGAATTTTTTGGTTTTCCTAGGATGGGATTGAACTCAATTCCACCCAGAATTCCTAAAAAAAATTGGAATTTTTGACTTTGTTTGGGTTTGGTTTTCCTAAGTTGGGATTGGCCTGGAATCCAAATGGAATTCCTAAAAAAAACCTGGAATTTTTTGGTTTTCCTAGGATGGGATTGACCTCAAATCTAAAGAGAATTCCTAAAAAAAACCTGGAATTTTTTGGTTTTCCTAAGCTGGGATTGACCTCAAATCTAAACAGAATTAAAAAAAAAATTGGAATTTTTTGGTTTTGGTTTGCCTAAGTTGGGATTGACCTCGAAACCAAAGAGAATTCCTAAAAAAAACTGGAATTTTTTGGGTTTGGCTTGCCTAGGTTGGGATTGAACTTGAATCTAAACAGAATTCCAAATAAAAATTGGAATTTTTTTGTTTTGGTTTGCCTAAACTGGGATTGGCCTCAAATCTAAAAAGAATTCCTAAAAAAATTTGGAATTTTTGACTTTTTTTGGTTTTGGTTTTCCTAAATTGGGATTGACCTCGAATCCACCCAGAATTCCTAAAAAAAATTTGGAATTTTTTGGTTTTCCTAGGATGGGATTGACCTCGAATCCCACCAGAATTCCTAAAAAAAATTGGAATTTTAAATTATTTTTTGTTTTGGTTTTCCTAAACTGGGATTGGCCTCAAATCTAAACAGAATTCCAAAGAAAAATTGGAATTGTTTGGGTTTGGTTTGCCTAAGTTGGAATTGGCCTCAAATCCAAATGGAATTCCGAAGAAAAATTGGAATTGTTTGGGTTTCGTTCGCCTAAGGCGGGGTTGGCCTGGAATCCAAATGGAATTCCAAAAAAAACCTGGAATTTTTTGGGTTTGGTTTGCCTAGGTTGGGATTGGCCTCAAATCCAAACAGAATTCCTAAAAAAATTTGGAATTTTTGACTTTGTTTGGGTTTGGTTTTCCTAGGTTGGGATTGACCTCGAATCTAAAGAGAATTCCAAAGAAAAACTGGAATTTTTTGGTTTTGGTTTTCCTAGGTTGGGATTGAACTAAAATCTAAAAGAATTCCTAAAAAAATTTGGAATTTTTGACTTTTTTTGGTTTTGGTTTTCCTAGGTTGGGATTGAACTAAAATCTAAACAGAATTCCTAAAAAAATTTGGAATTTTTGACTTTTTTTGGGTTTGGTTTGCCTAGGTTGGGATTGGCCTGGAATCCAAATGGAATTCCTAAAAAAAATTGGAATTGTTTGGGTTTGGTTCGCCTAAGGCGGGGTTGGCCTGGAATTCAAATGGAATTCCAAAAAAAAATTGGAATTTTTTGGGTTTGGTTTGCCTAAGGCGGGGTTGGCCTGGAATCCAAATGAAATTCCTAAAAAAAAACCTGGAATTTTTTGGGTTTGGTTCGCCTAAGGCGGGGTTGGCCTGGAATCCAAATGGAATTCCTAAAAAAAACCTGGAATTTTTGGGGTTTGGTTCGCCTAAGGCGGGGTTGGCCTGGAATCCAAACGGAATTCTTAAAAAAAACCTGGAATTTTTTGGTTTTCCTAAGCCGGGATTGGCCTCAAATCCAAATGGAATTCCGAAGAAAAATTGGAATTATTTGGGTTTGGTTTGCCTAGGTTGGGATTGGCCTCGAATCTAAACAGAATTCCTAAAAAATTTTTGAATTTTTTGGTTTGGTTTTGGTTTTCCTAAATTGGGATTGACCTCGAAACCAAAGAGAATTCCTAAAAAAAATTGGAATTTTTGGGGTTTGGTTTTTCTAAATTGGGATTGACCTCAAATCCACCCAGAATTCCTAAAAAAAATTGGAATTCTAAATTATTTTTTGTTTTGGTTTTCCTAAACTGGGATTGGCCTCAAATCTAAAGAGAATTCCAAAGAAAAATTGGAATTTTTTGGTTTGGTTTTGGTTCGCCTAAGGCGGGGTTGGCCTGGAATCCAAATGGAATTCCTAAAAAAAACCTGGAATTGTTTGGGTTTCCTAAGATGGGATTGGCCTCAATTCCACCCAAAATTCCTAAAAAAAATTGGAATTTTAAATTTTTTTTTGGTTTGGTTTGCCTAAGCTGGGATTGGCCTCAAATCTAAACAGAATTCCTAAAAAAAATTGGAATTTTTTGGTTTTCCTAAGCTGGGATTGACCTCGAATCTAAACAGAATTCCAAATAAAAATTGGAATTTTTTTGTTTTGGTTTGCCTAAGTTGGGATTGACCTGGAATCCAAATGGAATTGCAAATAAAAATTGGAATTATTTGGGTTTGGTTTGCCTAAGATGGGATTGGCCTCGAATCTAAAGAGAATTCCCAAAAAAATTGGAATTTTAAATTTTTTTTTGGTTTGGTTTGCCTAAGCCAGGATTGACCTCAAATCTAAAGAGAATTCCTAAAAAAAACCTGGAATTTTTTGGTTTTCCTAAGCTGGGATTGACCTGGAATCCAAACAGAATTCCTAAAAAAAATTTGGAATTTTTTGGTTTTCCTAAATTGGGATTGACCTTGAAACCAGACAGAATTCCTAAAAAAAAAAATTGGAATTTTAAATTTTTTTGGTTTGGTTTTCCTAAGTTGGGATTGACCTCGAATCCAACCAGAATTCCTAAAAAAATATATGGAATTTTTTAAAGCCAGAATTGACCTTGGATCCGACCAGAATTCCTAAAAAAATTTGGAATTTTTGAATTTTTTGGTTTTGGTTTTCCTAAATTGGGATTTGCCTCGAATCCAAATGGAATTCCAAATAAAAATTGGAATTTTTTGGTTTTGGTTTTCCTAAGCTGGGATTGACCTCAAATCCACCCAGAATTCCTAAAAAAAATTGGAATTTTCAATTTTTTTTTTGGTTTGGTTTGCCTAAGCTGGGATTGACCTCGAATCTAAACAGAATTCCTAAAAAAAATTGGAATTTTTTGGTTTTGCTAAGCTGGGATTGACCTCAAATCCACCCAGAATTCCTTAAAAATTTTGGAATTTAAAAAAATTTTTGGTTTTGGTTTTCCTAAATTGGGATTGAGCTCAAATCCACCCAAAATTCCTAAAAAAATTTGGAATTTTTTAAAGCCAGAATTGACCTTGGATCCGATCAGAATTCCTAAAAAAATTTGGAATTTTTGAATTTTTTTGCTTTGGTTTTCCTAAATTGGGATTGGCCCCAAATCCACCCAGAATTCCTAAAAAATTTGGAATTTTTTGGAATTTTTTGGGTTTTCCTAAATTGGGATTGGCCTCAAATCCACCCAGAATTCCTAAAGAAATTTGGAATTTTTTGGAATTTTTTGGAATTTTTTGGAATTTTTTGGAATTTTTTGGAATTTTTTGGAATTTTTTTGCTTTGGTTTTCCTAAATTGGGATTGGCCTCAATTCCACAAAAAATTCCTAAAAAAATTTGGAATTTTTTGGAATTTTTGGGAATTTTTTGGATTTTTTTGGAATTTTTTGGAATTTTTTTGTTTTGGTTTTCCTAAACTGGGATTGGCCTCAAATCCAACCAGAATTCCTAAAAAAATTTGGAATTTTTGGAATTTTTTGGTTTTGTTTGACCTCAAATCCACCCAGAATTCCTAAAAAAATTTGGAATTTTTTGGAATTTTTTGGAATTTTTTGGAATTTTGGGGAATTTTGGGGAATTTTTTTGTTTTGGTTTTCCTAAGTTGGGATTGGCCTCAAATCCACCCAGAATTCCTAAAAAAATTTGGAATTTTTTGGAATTTTTTGGAATATTTTGGAATTTTTTGGAATTTTTTGGTTTTGGTTTTCCTAAGTTGGGATTGGCCTCAAATCCACCCAGAATTCCTAAAAAAATTTGGAATTTTTTGGAATTTTTTGGAATTTTTTTGGAGTTTTTTGGAATTTTTTGGTTTTGGTTTGCCTAAGTTGGGATTGGCCTCAAATCCAACCAAAATTCCTAAAAAAATTTGGAATTTTTTGGAATTTTTT